GACACTGAAGACTGGAGTTATGATGCTGAAAATTCAGCTTTGCATAAAATACATTAAAATGGAAATCAGTGGAAATAATATTTCACAACAATACTGTTTTTAGTGAAATTTTGATCAAATAAATGCATTCTTGGTGAGCAAATAAGATGTCTTTCAAAAACATTTAAAAAAATATGTATTGACCCCAAACTTCTAAACGTTAATATATACAGTCATACCCTCCAGCCTTACCAACTAATACTTCCCTGTAAACTGGATATTGTCATAAATGTATACATGTACATTCAGAGTTACTGTATGTATGCTCTTACATTCTTAATGACATCTCTGATGGCAAGCAGTTTGTCAGTGGGGTCTCCTGCCTCTGATAAAGGTGCATTGTAATCATAACTGGTCACCACAGACCGAAACCTGGTATCATGATCCGCTCCTATGAGTGATAACATTACATTTACACATTAAGATGACTGCATTAACAGATATTGTCAGTGATATGGGAACGGGTATACCGAAATAGCAGATTTACCATTCCAGTAGCCAAAGTTTGTTCCTCCCTCAAACATGTACCTGTGATTTGAAGAAAGCCCTTTGCATCAGAAGTGCAGCAAAGTTTTAATGTTAACTAGGTTTTTTTGTTTAAATAATCTAATGAATCAAATGGCTTTATACTCATTATCCTATAGAAAGCATTACTTACATGTTCACACTGGCACCCATGGACAACATCTCTCCAAGCATTTTGCTCACTTTGACAGTGTCCACAGATGCATGTTTGTCACCCCAGTGATCCAACCAGCCTGTATAGAACTCAGAATTCACCTGAAATCATGACACATCAATTACTGCCAAATTCTACAGCTTGAGAAATAGAGACACAAACAATCAATACATGAATGCTCTCTCAAACATCTTACTTACCAATGGGCCTTTAGGCTCAAACCTTCTTTGTCGGATGAAGGCTGCAGTGATATTGGTGTCTGAAGGGGAAAAGAAGTTGCAGTGTCACTTGGACTTTGTGTGACTTTTCAGATGCAAGTTTGAGTATTTACTATATTTTTTAAAGCTACAAATT